TGTTCTTCCAGCCTCCTGTTTGTCTACCTTGGATTCCAGCATCTGCAGTCTTTTTGTCTCTTAGCAGGGTGTTGCCCGTTTTGGATTGTATTAGCCAGTTCTGAGGAAGGGTCACCAGACCTGAAACGTTAACTTTTTTTTTCCCTTCACAGATGCTGCCAGACCTGTTGAGCTTTTCCAGCAACTTTGTTTTTGGTTTGTTTTCACTTCAACATTGGAGGCTGAGGTTCAACCTGAAACAAGTTCATGAAATTGAGAGGCATGGTTAGAATGGATAGTCAGTCTTTTTCCCAGGTTTGAAATGTCTACAACTTGGGGCATAAGGTTCAAGTAAAAGGGGGTGGGGGGAAGTTTTAAAGGAGTTGTGAGAAGTAGGTTATTTACACAGAGGGTTAAATACTTGGAAAGCACTGCAAGTGGAGGTGATAGAAACAGATACAATAGCAGAGTTTTAGGAGGGATCTTGACAGATACATGAATAGACAAGGAATAGAGGGATACGGACCATGTAGAGGCAAAAGGCTTTTAGTTTAGGAAGGCATCATGTGTTGTTGCAGGCTTGTTGGGCTGAAGGGCCTTTTCCTGTGATGTACTGTTCTTTGTTCTTTGGTTCCAGGAATGGGGAGTTTCAATTATGAAGACAGTTCAGAAAAGGAGGACTGTTTTTCCATGTAGAAAAAGAAGGCTGAGGGGAAATTTGACAGAATAGGTAGGGAAACCTTCGATTTCATCATGATATAACGGGCTTCTTAGGAAGAAAGACCCATCCTGTTGAAGCTATTTCTGTTGAAATGTAAAAGAATGAAATGTGTTCTTGTTGAAACTCAACATCCTAAGGGGAGTTGGCAGCACTGGTTCGGAGGACATTGCCCTTACAGAGAAACAAGAAATTGGAAATGCAGTTAACAAATAAGTCTTGCTTTTAACTCTGAGATGAGGACAAGTTCTTTCATGGTTATTTGTGTGGAATCATCTTCCCCTGAATGTGATGGAGGCTGGGTCTTTATCTAACTCAGTCTTGAATAAATTTAGTCTTTGATAGATGAGTGAGTCAAGAATAATGGACTGCAGACAGTTAAGTGGATTTGAAACCAGAGCCAGTGAATAGTGGAGCATATGCAGAAGGGCTGAATGGCTTACCCCTGCTTCTGTGTTCATATTGCTTATGAATGTGAGACTGCATTTATCAGCATCATATCCTACAAAGCACACCACACTATTGTGTAAATCTTGAATTATATCTATTTTCGAAAAGTTAATTTTGTAACTTTATGGCCCAGAAGAGTCTGAAACAGCGTCTAGGTAAGAGCAACATCCAAGCACGATTGGGGCGACCAGTGGGAGCTTTGGCGCGAGGACCAATTGTTGGGCGGGGATCGCCAAGAGGAGGTGTGCGCCTTGGCCGTGGTGGACGAGGAGGTGCGAGAGGAGGGCTTCCTCTTCGAGGTAGGTAATGTTGTTCTGGTAGTCAAGAGGTCCCTGCAGTGCATTGAGTTGGATATAATGGTTGATGATGGGAGTTGCTGACCTATTGCCTCCGAAAGCAGTTGGTCTGACTGAACCCAAGTTAATCAGGGTCAGGGTAGACTGTTGCCCTGATTTCACTGCATTAAAAACTACCTGATGAACTGAAATGTTTGGGACATGTTGAGGATGTGCAAGGTGATTTGTTGTACCAGTCCAACTTTCTGCAAGCAGACTTTAGGGAGTTAAGTAGGAAACTGAAAAACAAGACTTCAAAAATCATGATCTCTAGATTACTCTTGGTTCCACACAGTAGTGATTATAAAACTGGATGGAGAGAGAGATGAATGTGTGGCTGGAGAAATGGTGCAGGAGGGAGGGTTTTAGATTCTTGAGGCATTGGCACTGTTTCTGAGCGTGGTGGGAACTACCTAAGTTGGACAGGTTACATCTGAACTGGAATAGGATTAACTTCCTTGCAGGAGGATTTGCTGATGTTGGAGTGGATTTAAACTAGATTGGAAGGGAAATGGAATCCTGTCAGGTAATTCAGAGGGAAGAAAAACTGATATAGAATTAGAAGTTAAACTGCAAGTGAGCGAGTCTGGAAGGCAGAGGAAACATAGGTCCGATAAGAATGAAAGAGGTTTAACAAGGTTGTGAAATATTTTAATTCAAAGAGCCAGAGTAACAAGAAAGATGGGCTGAGGGTTCAAGTGCTTGTGAGTGTGATATCATAGCTATGTTGGAGTATGTGGCAGGTTTGATAACTCCGCATTCCTGGTTACAGCATGTGTAGACAGGGTAGATTTTGCAAGGGATGGGGATTGGCAAGGAACAATATTGCTCAGAATCGGTGAAGACAGATGATATGTTGGAAAGATCATCAAATAAGGCCATGTGGTTGGAATATGGGCAAACAGACTGGCAAATGTCTACTTTAGGCCCCCAACCTGTCATGGAAAGATGAAGAATTAAATTTGTAAATTTCTGAGAGGCGTAAAATAATAAGACAGAATAAGGGATTTTAACTAGTCAAATATCAGCTAGGGTAGTTTAGTGTGCCAGCTTTATTCCCTCAAAGGGGAAAGGTTGAACGAACAAATCCAGAACTCCTGGGATGACCGAGGGAGCTAGAAGTTGAAATGAAGAAGCAAAAGTGTGCTTAATACGGATGTCAGGCAGAAAGTATCACTGAAAACCGGGAATACAGAAGGCTCAGGGGAAGTGATAAAACATAACATAGATGCAAAGAAGAAATATGAGAAAAGACTCTCAATGTAATCAGGAATCGTAAAGTATTTCTATAGACATATAAATAGTGGTAAAGAGCGGATTTACACATGGAGTTGGGAGGATGACGGTGATACTACATGAATGTTTATATCTCTGTCTTTACCAAAGAGCTAGATGCCTCCTAATTATAATTGCCTCATTCTTTCTGTATTTTGGTTTTGGCCTTAGGTCAGGGTCCAAACCGAGGACGTGGTGGAGTTCCACGATTAGGATTGAAACGTGGTGGAATGAGGGGCCGAGGAGGCCTTGGCCGAGGAGGTCCGCCTGGACGAGGAGGTGTCAGTGGCAGAGGTTAGTGCTGGTACAGATGAAATGGTAAATACTGTGTCGGGAATTGTAGGAAAATCTCAAAACTAAAGTAGTCCTGTCTTCCTGCATTTGGCCCCTCTAAACTTTTGGTATTCATGTACATATCCAGATGCTATTTAAATGTTATAACTGTACCTGAATCTGCCACTTCCTCTGTCAGTTCATTCCACATACAAACCACCTTCTGTGAAAAAGTTGCTCCTCAGACCCCTTTTCGATCTTTCTCCTCTCGCCTTAAAAATATGACCTCCAGTTTTGAACTCCCCTACCCTAGGGAAAAGATCTTTTCTATTCACCTTATTTATGCCCCACATGATCTTATAAACCTGTATATGCTCCATTGAAAGATGTACCAGCCTCTCCTTATAACTCAAACCCTGCAGTCCTAGCAATATCCTTGTAAATCTTTTCTGAACCCTCTCTAACTTAATAATATCCTTCCTATAGCAAGGCGACCAGCATTGTACACAGTACTCCAAAAGTGGCCTCACCAATGTTCAGTACAACAGCAACGTGACTTCCCAACTCCTATACTCAATGTTCTGAGCAATGAAGGTGAGCGTGCTAAATGCCACCTTAACCACTCTGTCTACCTGTGACGCAACTTTTAAATAACTATGTACCTGAACTCCTACTTCTCTCTTTGACAACACTGCCCAGGATCCTACCATTAACTGTATAATGTGAAACAGCAAAAAGTATTTTCCTGTTGGGTTAAGCAGGCTGAACAGGGCCTCACTGCATGGCATGTGATGGAAGATCTTGTCAACAGGCCTGTCAAGCCACACTTGCAAAGGAATAAACTGCTTGCTGAGTTGCTTAGAATCCGTACAGTTTGGAAATAGGCCATTCAGCCCAACAAGTCCAAATCAACCCTACGAACAGCATCTCACCCCGACCCCCGACCCCATTTCCCATGGCTAACACATCTAACCTGCACATCCCTGAATTCTATGAGTAATTTAGAATGGCCAATCCACCTAACCTGCATATCTTTGGACTGTGGGAGGAAACTGAAGCACCTGGCGGAATTCCACATAGTCGCCCAAGGATGGAATTGAACCCAGGTGCTTGGTGCTGTGAGACAGCAGTGCTAACCACTGAGCCACCATGCTGCCAGAGCTACTCCGCTCTTGACCTCATTCCATTCTTGGTCCAAACATGGACAAAAGTGCAGAATTCCAGAAATGAGGTGAGAGGGCTGTCCCAGACATCAGGCAGCATTTATCGAGTCTGGCATGAAGGAGTCCTTCCAAACCTGGAAAGTTTTTCACTGGTTTAAGTCGTCTTTTTATCATCTCGGACCTAAGACATCACTGCAGTGGTTCCTCAGGGTAACATACTCCACCTAACCATCTTCAGTTGCTTTGTCAATGACTTCGCTCCATCATAAGGTCCGAAGTGGAGATGTTTGCTAATGATTGCTCAATGTCCAGCTCCATTCATGATACCTCATACAGAAGTAGTCCATGTCCACATACAGCAAGACCTAGGCAACAGTCAGGTTTGGGTTTGATGAGTGTCAAACAAGTGACAGGCAATGACCACCTCCAATGAGGGAGAATCTAGCCATCGCCCTTAATGTTTAATTACCATTGCTGAGTCCATCAGTATCAATATCCTAGGGTGTTCATTAACATGAAACTGAATGGGCCAAAGAAATACTGTCTACAACAGCAGGTCAGAAGCCAAGAACCCTGCATCAAATAACTGAGCTCTTGACTGCCTAAAGCCTGTTCACCATCTTCAAGGCACAAGTCAGGAGTCTGATGGAATATTCCCTGCTTGCCTGGATGAGTGCAGTTCTAGCAACACTGAAGAAGTTTGACACTCCAGGACAAATCAGCCCATTTGACTGGCAGAGCAATACTAAAGCACACTCCTTTCATAGCCATCAGCATTTGTGTACCATCTGCAAGATGTAGTGCAGATTCCTCTGCCAATACCTCCAAACACACACACCCTACCACTTAAAAGGGTAAGAACAAAAGATACATGGAAGCACTTCATCTGCAAACTCCTAAGTTGCACAGTATCCTGACTTGGCATGAGAATTGCCATTTCTTCACTGCTGTTTGGTTGAAATCTTGGAATTCCTAACATCTCTCAGCCACCACCTCCAGAGTAATTAGGGATGAGCAATAAATGCTAGTCTATCCAATCTGGTTAACATCCTGTGAATGAAGAATAATAAAAGCATGTAGCCTTTGCTGTTTGTGAGTGTTCTATGCTCTGGCTGTCCTTTGTGTGAAATGTTTCCTGATTGGCTCTGATTTTCAGTTTATGTTCTCTTGTTCTGGATTTCCCTTGTCAAAGAGTCATCAGTAGAAGATGCTTGTCCCTACCTGATCACTTCCATTCAGAATCATTAAAATCTTGATTAAAGTACCCTTTGACTTTTTGGGTTTAGCAACACCAGCCCAGTGTATATCAGCCTTCGTCCTCCTCCCCCTCCCCGTCCGCCCCCGCCCCCGCCCCCTCATGAGCCCCACGTGCCTTCCAGGTTCAATGCATCCTTTATTGCAGTACCCAGGACTGTACACAATCTGATTACGATCTAACTAGAGGTTTACTTAGCTGCAGTAAAACATGTCTACCATGTTGGTTGTCCAAGTGAATGGTCTTCATGCAATAAGTGTTGTTGAGCTGTTCAACCAGGGATAGGGAGGGGTCAGAACGAAACCTGTAATCCTTTCCTTGCTGCCTGCAGAGATACCTTTCTAACAAGAATCTCTGGATAGTGATCAGCGCTGTAGTCCTCAAATCTTTTACTTCAATAATATCACTCCTAGTTCTTGAATCCAACGAATATAGGCACCACCTGTTCAACCTTCCTCATGAGCCAACTCTTGCATCCAATTGTTAGCCTAATGAGCCTTCTCTGAACTCCCAGTGCAAATCCTTTGTTGACTAAGGAGACTAAAATTATACACAGTCCTCCAGATATGTTCTAACCATAGCTCTGTACAATTGCAACAAATTTCCTACTGCTATCCTCCATCCTCCACGTGATAAAGGCCAGCATTCAGTTTGCTTTTTGCTGTCTACTTGCTAGCCTTCTGTGATTCATGTGCGAAAACTTCCATGTTCCCCTCTACAGCATCCTGCAGTTTTTGTTTTCCACTTAAATAATGTTCTGCTTTTCAATCATCCCTGCCACAGTGAACAATCTCATTTTTTTACAGATACTCCATTTCCATATGTTTCCCCAGTCAGTCAGCTTTACACCTTGGCAGACTTCTTACATTCTCTGTCTGTTTTCTTGCCTGCCTTTGTTTCAGGTCGTGGAGGAATAGTGGGCCGTGGTCGAGGTGGCTTCCCAGGTCGAGGGAGGGGTCGGGGTCGAGGAAGAGGAGCAACTCGTCCCCCACTTACCCGTGAACAGCTAGACAATCAACTGGATGCATACATGTCAAAGACGAAGGGTCACCTTGATGCTGAGCTTGATGCTTACATGGCACAAGCTGATGGGGAAGCGAATGATTAGCAATTGAGATGCTAGTTTTACTGATAGTATCAGGACTTGAATTTGAGAATCTAGCAAAACGATCCAAGAAACAAACAGAGGACTTTTTGGGAAATGATATAAGCTGTATTTGAACTGACAGATGGTTGGATGTCAAAGGTTTTGCTTTTTGATTCCTTTCCTTTGACCTTTTTACATTTTGAGAAGTTCATGGTTCTGTTTGGAAATCCCTCTGTTCTTTTCGATTGTGTAATGATCATGACACTGTATAAAGTTTATTCTCTTTCCTTAGCGACTGAGGATATTGTAGTTTCAAAGGTTGTTTTTACTGTGTTAAAACCTTCCTGTCTGTTGTTTTTAGAGTGGAGACTACATTAACGATCTGTCACTTTGTGGCAGAATCTGTTTATCATAAAATTTTAGAACTCTAAGAATCTGCTGTAGTTTTTTTTCTGATACAAAATTAAATGCTTCTTTATTTTTCTATAGGTTCATTACTGCCTTTGGCAGCAGGGCAGTTTAAAATTTGCCAATTGTTCAATCGCTTTAGATTCTTTAGCCTTGATAAGGGGTGACATCAAAGATCCTTGCTGAATCCAATACCTCGTGCTATAGGGATAACAGCGGCATGGGTAGAAGATTGTCTACTGTTTCGTGTTAGATAGCCAGGAATGGATCATTTTCTGGTTGACCAAATATAACAAATGGGATGGCTCAGGGATCAGTGCTGCAGCCTCAGCCTTCACAATTTATATAAATGACTTGGATGAAGAGACTGAAGGTATTGTTATTAATTTTGTTGATGACACAAAATAGGAAACAAAGTTACGAAGGGAAGTTTGTAATGTGAAATTGTTCATTTTGTCAGGAAGAATAAAAAGCAGATAATTTAAATGATGAGAGCATTGCAATATGGGGTGATCTGGTTGTCCAAGTGTAAAACATTAGGATGCAAGTACAGCAAGTAATTAGGAAAGCAAATAGGGTGATCATTAATTATGGGCAATTATTGAATATAAAAGTAATGCAATCATGCTTCAGCTGTACAGGGCATTGGTGAGACCACATCTCGAGTACTGTTTTGTTGTTGATCTTGGTTAATAAAGAATGTGAATGTGTTGAAAGCAGTTCAGAGGAAGTTTAACAGGCCAATACCTTGAATGGACAGGTTAACTGAGCTGAGTTTGCACAGGCTTGTTTGAAACACAAGATCCTGAGGGAGTTTGACAGGCTGGTTGTGGAAAGAATAATTCCACTACTGTAAACATCTACAACTAGGGATCATGGCTTGAAAATAAAGGGTTACCCATATAAAACAGATGAGGAGAAAAGTTCTTTTCCTCGAGGGTTTTGTGTGGTTTGAGCTCTTTTCAAAAAGACCCAGGGATTTAGAATAGTTTTTAAGGCCATGATAAGTAGATCCTTTGTAAGCAAAGGGAAGGAAGGACAAGGATAGGTGAGAATGTGGTGTAATCACATCAGCCAGGATCTTATTGAAAGGCAGAACAGGCTTAAGGGCAGAGTGGCCTACTCATTTTCTTAATTTGTTTGAATATATGTTTATATGAAAAGGGAGTGAGTGTAGTGCATGTGTTGCATTGTTTACAGCAGTGTGCAGCTTTTGCTCAATATTTTGCCAATAGATGTCACTGGTGTCCTACTGAAATGATCACATTTCACTCTGCCTCTAACACAGCGTGCCCGCAATGTCCAGCCTCACTTCCCCAGTGCAACATTCCCGGCTTGTTGGCTATCTCGTCCATGCGCATTTTGTCTGTCGCCCACTCAGATGCTCCTTTCTTACAAATCCCATTGCATCCTTCAATCTTGGGTAATTCTGAAAGCTGGATCTCGTTCACGACAGGTTTGTTACTGATTGTGGTGAAGAAAGTATTGAGTGAATTGTAGGAACTCTATCCAGTTGGAGATAAAAATGTTGAGGGTTTAAGTCTCCTTTTGAACACTGCAATGCATCTTCAAGCCAAAATGCTTGGTTCTGTGTGCAAATCATGTTGCATGTGCATACTTACTAATCTTGGGATATGTCTGTTACCAAAACTTTGATGCACCAGCCAACCTCCTAAGCTTGTGCCTTTGAGTTGCCTGTTTTCTGCTGTGTGGAGGAACTGACATATGAAAGATCACTACTTTTTTTTTATTTACAGATCATGGGATTGATTATAACTAAGCTGCCTTATTCCTCAAGTATCATTCTCTCCCTTTTGTTCCCAATTGAAATCCATCAACTTGGCAAAGAGCAAACAGTGAAACCTTTTGAAGTCTATGCAGTTGTGTAAGCTGTTTGTGTATGTTTCCACCCTGTACAATTCCAGAGTTTGCTCCTCTGTTGTTCTGAGACTAAATGTTCAGGCAGTGTGTATATAGCAAAATTGTACTTGGAAATTGGCCATTTTTCTGTTTGCAAAGATCACCAACTGCAACATTCTCCAGGAATACATCCTTAGCAAATTATGGAAGCTGAACTATAGCCTGTATTTAATGTGCGATTTGTTATTAAGATTAAATTTGTTGTAAATAAGTGGCCAAATCAGAACAAAGTAGAAAAGGCTCTTGCAGCTTAAATCTGTTCTGTCCAGTTTGTTCCCACAAGTTTTTCACGTTATCCAGCTGAATGGCATCATCCAAGCTCCTGTTGAGTGACATTTTGGTTCTGATGAAAGGTCGTTGATGTGATATGCCAGGCCTGCTCAGCAATACCAGCGTCTTCTGTTTTCATTTTGGATTTCCAGTATTTAGTAATCTGTGACTTTGTTTATATTGCTAGGTCTCAATTCTTTGATTCATACTGGAAGTGGCAGACAATTTTAAAGTTTAGTTAGTTAACCATCACAACCAAGTCAGTCCATAATCTGCACTTGCCTTTACTTGAATTTGCGGGATGCTCAGAAACAGTTCTGCCTGTTCACATCTGTGTCTTTTGGACTGAGCCTTTATTCAATGCTTAATTGTAATTAGAATATCTCAATGTGAAAGGAATATAATTCTCAAGTCGGTTTGGAAAGGGCTTCCATGTCCTTTGTAAATAAACATGAATGCATGAAGGGTAACAGATTATTAAATTTGTACTCAGATTGTAACATTAAGCAGTTCTCAGTGAACGTATCTATTAGTCATAAGAGTTGTACAGTATGAAAACAGACCCTTCACTCTAACTCGCCCAAGCTGACCAGACATCCTGAAGCTAGTCCCATTTGCCAGCATTTGACCTATATCCCTCTATACCCTTCCTACTCATATACCCTTCCTACTCATATACCCATCCAGATGCATTTTAAATGTTGTAGTTGTACCAGCCTTCACCACTTCCTCGGGCAACTCATTCCACACAGGCACCATCTTCTATGTGGAAAAAGTTGCCCCTTAGGTTCCTTTTAAATCTTCACCTTCAACCTATACGCTCCAGGTTTAGACTCCCCTATGCTGGGGGAGAAAGATCTTGGTTATTCATCCTATCCATGCCCCTCGTGATTTTACAAACCTCTCTAGTCATCCCTCAACCTCTGATGCTCCAGCCTCTCCCTATCGTTCAAACCCTCCAAACCCAGCAACATCCTTGTAAATCTTTTCTGCACTCTTTCAAGTTTAATAACGTCTTTCCTAGGCCAGGGAGACCAAAATCAAATGCAGTATTCCAAAAGTGGCCTTATTAACATCCTGTACAACTGTAACATGACTTCCCAACTCTTCTAGTCAGTGATACTCAAAATACGACAGCTCATTTATAGATCATAGAATCCCTACAGTGTGGAAACAGGCCCTTTGGCCCAACAAGTTCACACCAACCATCAGAGCATCGTCCCCCCCCCACACCCTACCTAGTCTGCACATCCCTGAACACTATGGGCAATTTAACATGGCCAATCCACCTAGCCTGCACATGTTTGGACTGTGGGAGGAAACCGGAGCACCCGGAGGAAACCTGCACAGACACAGGGAGAATGTGCAAACTGCACACAGACGGTCGCCCGAGGGTGAAATTTCATCGGGTCCCTGGCGCTGTGAGGCAGCAGTGCTGACCACTGTGCTACCCTATCTCAATTTATCTCAATTAAATTTCATCTGCTGCTCCTCACCCAGTCAGCCTATCTGATCAAGCTCGCAGTGTACTCTAAGATAATCATCATCTTCACTGTCTGCTACACCACCTATTTTGGTGTCATCTGCAAACTTATTAACCATGCCTCCTGTTATTCACATCCAAATCAATTATATAAATGATAGAAAGCAGTAGACCCAGCATTGATCTTTGCAGTATACCACTGGTTTCTGACTTCCAGTCTGAAAAACAACCATCCACAACCGGCCTCTTGTCTCCTACCTTCAAATCAATTTTGTAGCCAAATGGCGAGTTCTCCCTGGATTCCATGTGATCTAATCTTGCTAAGCAGTCTACCACACAGAGTGTTGTCAAAACATTTTGCTGAAGTCTACATAGACAGTGTAGACTGTCTCTGCTCTGCCTTTATCAATCTTCTTTGTCACTTCTTCAAAGATAATTTGTACTCCCTGATATGGAATCAGCAGTCAGAAGACACCAGATTTATCATCAGGCTGCTACCCTATCCCTGTTTCTTCTTCAGTTCATTCAGGCAATGTGGGGAGCTGCTCACTACATGTGGCAACATTTACTGCCCATACCTCGTTGCTGTTTAAGATGAGCTAATCCTGGGGAAAGGGACTATGAGGGGAAGTGGTGTGGGAGAGGACGGGATGGAGAGAAGAGCGGGGAAGTAGGGACGAGGGGAGAACAAACAGGAGGGGAAGTTTCGCACCCTGCCCCCATATCATTTCACAGCTGACAGCTATTCCTTGGTTCATTTGAGGCCTGTGCCCTTGAGTGAACATACCTGTTAAGAAAATGGAGAAGTGGCAGAAATGTGGAGCTGAGTATGATCAAATGATACATAAGAGGCAACAATAGCAGAAATTGACGGAGAAAGTGAGCAGGCCTGGCAGCATCTGTACGGAGAAAGGAGAGCTAACGTTTTGGGTCCAGTGACCCTTTAGCAGAACTACATAGGAATAGGTGGTATATGTTGCCAAAAATAGCGGTTGGGGTGGTGGGGTAGAACTAAACTGTAGGCGGAGATGAAGTCCAGAGCGACAGAACAGTAGCTGGGCAAGGGATTTCTGAAGAAGGGTCCCGACCCGAAACGTCAACTTTCCTGTTCCACTGATGCTGCCTGGCCTGCTGTGTTCCTCCACCTCCACACTGTTGTCTCTGACTCCAGCATCGGCAGTTCTTACTATCGCCAAGGGGATTGGATAATAGTCAGCCAGGGAGAAAGAAAAGCTG